AAAACTCAAATATGTGTACTAGAGACTGACACGGGAGTGGATTTTCACTCCTGTCCCGTCCCACTCCCACAGAAAAAAATGGTGTCCCGTCCCGATCCCGGGCCAGAGTAGAAATCTAAATCCTGTCCCGTCCCACTCCTGGTGAAATTACTCCCGCTCCCATTCAGAATGACTCCCGCTCCTGCACCACTCCCATTCTTGTTTTTGAGCGCGGGTGAAAAACTCAGAGCGAAAGCACTGTTGGTTTTTGGGTCGTGTAGTTTTTTTGACTCGCATTATAGCGTAGACTTCAAGGAAAAAAACTACAAAATGGCGGTGCGAGTACTGGATTTTTTTTCTTTCTATTTTATTTTTTGGCATCGATCCTAGTTTTTTTAGTTACTATTGGTTTGCTCCCGCTCCCGTCTGCTCCCGTTAATGTTTAATCCTGTACCGTCCCAAACACGTGATCATTACTAAAACTGACTCCCATCCCACGGGAATCACACGGGAATCCCGTGACCCGTGAGATTCCCGAAAAAATGTCAGTCTCTAATGTGTACCTATGATACGTTCCTTTTTTGAACACTTTCCACAGGAGCCTTTCCAGATGAAAACCATGTAAAATTCCCATTAAACTACACGTATCAATCTGGTTTATGCCAGGTTAGAGCTACAGAAACCAGACCATAATATAAATAAATAAAAAGTTGAATAATTTTCCTTCAACTTCACAATTATTCACTACTCTACATAAAAAATGTGTAAAACAAACCATGCAGACATGGTGTGAAAGATGCAGATATTTTTGCGAGGCACCTTATTTTAACCCCGCTTCTTCTTCCATGTTCTCATACTCTTTAGTCAGAATTCTGCACCCAGCTGCATCTTGACTTGTTGCGTCTCAGTTTCAGAGCCCGCCTCCCCCCCGCCCTCCTCCCCCGCTCCTGAACAAGGAAACAAGCGCGTCTGCGCTGCATGTGTGCGCCAAGGAAGAACATGTGGGCGCATCCAGGCGCTCTGCTGACAGAGACCGCGTGTGTGCAGTTCCCTGTGTGGGTGTGAAATTATTTCGTTTGCACGAAGCTCATAACAAAAGAAATGCCAAAAACCCAACAACACCTGAATGGTAGACCTCAGATACAAATTGCGATCCTGTAAACTGAGTTGACGGTTTGTTTCTGCGCCTGACTATCACACCTCTGTCACACTTCGTGTTATTTAAGCTAGAAGCTGTGAGAATATCAACAAATAGATGCAATGGGGAACTATTTATACTGTAGAATTGAATTCACACAGCTCTGTATTTGGATTAGAACCACAAACAAACACTGAAAGGGGAACATATGTAGATAAGACTTAAGTTTTAGAATTAAATATACATAAAGATGTAAGCAGAAAGGCACAAAAAGCCTTTTCAGCTGACTGTGGGCTGCGTCTCTTTATCTGTGACGGATTGTGTCTGGAGGTGGGCTCTCCTTTCCTTATTACCTTTTGGGTGTCTTAAACTGACATCCATTTCATCCTCTTGTGGCTTCTTATGCAGCTGCAGATTTTAAATAGCAGGGAGGTTAAAACCGGAGTGATGGGGCTCTCCGTAGATCTCTGGCTGGATCTGCTCCTCTGACTACTTTTATCCCAAAGCTCCCAGAGCACTACTGCTGCTGAGGCTATTTTTGGGGTGGCAGTGGGAAGCTGTGATCACCGCTGTACGGGATGCAGGTAAACTGCTGTGTGAGATGAAGTTTTCTCATGAGCCGTTTGCCGTTTTGCTTCATTTCAAAGGCGCCGTCTGCAAACATGGGCGCTCATCATGTGCGCTTGTCATGCAGCTCATTGATCTGTTGCTGTGCGTGAGAACGCAGGGAGGAAAGAGCGATGCGGTTGCTATGGAGTTGTAGCTATGGTGCTGTAACTATGGCAACAAACCTTGGAAAGCTAGCGACTTAATTGGCATCTCCAAGGTGCTCTGATCTGTGGGGCTGAGATCAAGAATAGCAACAATTCATGCTCTAATGTATGCTTTACATGTCAGACAAGGAAGATATCACTATTGGATGCAAACAGGTTATTCAATACCACAGTTGTTACCCCTGTGTGTTTGTTTGTGTGAAACATATGTAACTAAATAAATCATGAGCAATGTTAGAATACATTTGCACTGCAAAAACTTGGAATATCATTTTAAAAAATGTATTTCAAATCTGGAATGGAAAGGATATTCATGTTTATTATCTAAAGTGTACATTTCCATTAATTTAGGTTATCCTGCCTACATCTAATGATGATCTAAAATTAAGTTAGTCAGAAAATACATAAATAATTACAAAAGGGTTTCAAAAACACAATTGCAGGGCAATATGTCCATCTGCTACTTTGGTTGGGGCTCCTCTTGAATGATTCGCTCATCAATGCAACGTGGCACAGAGGATCTCTGGTTCTATAATATAAATATAACATATGCGGCTTTAAGTGTGGCCTTGAGCTCATTTGAATTATTGGGACCTTCCTCCTGGGGAAGCTGTGGTTCAGAGTGAAGAGTGATTCTTTATTCCAGTTTCCCTTTAAGCAGATGTGAAAAAATGCCCTTGGGCAATGCACTTTAGGTCCTATACTGCTTATCAAGACTTTCAAAGTCTACTATAGAGATATACACTCACTGACTAATTTATTATGTACATCTTCCTAGTACCTGGTTGGATCCTCTTTGCCTTCAGAACTGCCATAACCCCAGGTGGCACAGATTCAACAAAGTACTGGAACCATTCCTCAAAGAGTTTCATCCATGTGGACATGCATTTGCCGCAGATTTTTCGGCTGCACATTCATGATGCGAATCTCCCATTCCGCCACATCCTAAAGGTGCTCTATAGGATTTATATCTGGCGACTGTCAACTATTTGAGTCTGAGAGAATTCTCTCTATGGACAGTACAGTATTTATGACATGAAGTGTTTTTCTGCTGGAAATAACCATCTAAGATCCTTAGATAGAAAACTTTGACTCAATTTGACTTGATGATCTGGTGAACTGTAAAGTGCCTTGAAAGGACATGTATTGTGAATCGGCGCTATACAAATAAACTAAATTGAATTGAATTAAGATTATAAGAGTATTTTGAGTTACTCTTGCCTTCCTACCAGCTCAAACCAGTCTGGGTATTCTCCTCCAGCCTCTGGCATCAACAAGGCATTTGTGTCCACAGAACAGCCACCCACTAAATATTTTCACTTTTTTGGACCATTCCCTTTAAACCATAGCGATGGATTTACGTGAAAATCCCAGCCACCATGCCACATTTAAAGTCACCTAAATCACTTTTCTTCCTCATTCTAATGCTCAGTTTGAACTTCAGCAGATCATATTGACCATTTCTTCATGCTTAAATGCATTGAGTTGCTGCCGTATATATATATATATAATGACCCCTTAGCATTTAGTGGTATTCATTACTGTAGGTGTTGTGTATGTCCAACCCAGAGAAAAGACACTTTCCTTGAAGCCACCTCTGCCCCATCTCATGATGTCACTGGTCCTTTCTGTAGGTTCATCCTTAGAAGGCTGCGCAGTATCTTAGATCATCTGTGGTCAAGTAACAGACTTTTATGACCTAGCCATTAGCAAACAAATTTATGGTTTCTATGACTGTAAAGTTTAGCTGTAAACCTGCCAGTTAGTGCCACCTTTGAGCTGAAATGACAGACTCTGCTATTTACTGTGAGGGTGCAGCACGGTCAAGGACGGTGTTTCTGGGCAGCCGGTTGACATTCTGTTTAAGTAGTAAGGTGATGCTCACTCCAGAAGGGACAGAAAATGATTTCTTTGTGGATGGTTTTGATAAAGGAATAGCATTATTACTACTACTAATAATAATTAAGCTTTATTGATCTGACATTGGAGAAATGTACCTCTGAGTTTAACTCATCCCCTTGGGGAGCAGCGTGGAGTTAAGGGTCTAGTCCGTGGGAGTGGGGCTCGAATTCAGCACCTCTGGATTCCAAGCTCTATGCTCTAAGCACTAGGCCACCACTCCCCTACTTTTTTTTGAAAGTAGATTTTAGATTGTATAGGCCCTTTCAACTTAGATTGCCAACCAATCTCTGTATAAATACCTCTGCAGCTCGGTGGAGGTGACTTTGTGTAAAAACATTTTTTGAGCCATTGCTATGAGTAGAAAAGCTCAATTCATTGATGTCTGGGTAGGATACTTTACACATTAAATTATTATGAATTCATTATTATAATTAATCTGCATTATTATTAATCACTAAAACAGCACAATGATAACATGAGCTTTCAAGCAAATGCTACATTTTGTTGGAAAATAAAATCAGGATCTATAGAAAGCTGACTGTGGTTTTCAGAGGGCACAGATTTTAAACACCAGTAGAGGACATAAATCCAGAAATCATGTTAATTTAAACTTCCAAAAGGAGTTCAAGCCACTTTGATTTACTTCCTGTCCACCATTTATTCAGGCTATGAGACCTAGAATTCCATATGAAATGCAAAATATAATTTAAATTGAAAAAGGTACTTTAGACTATGAAGCTAAAGTCCAGTTCTTTTTCTTCTTCTTTTCAAACGCTCAGTTTGAAAGCTTGTGTCATTTTTTCATGTGTGATCCTAAAGCTTTGACTAATGCAAGTTTTTCAACCACATTTTTTCCTTACAGTTAACTTTCTGCAACATTCACCACTTTTAACAGTCTGTAACTGTAGGAAAGACACTCTTTTACATAAATAGCCAAAATATTTGTATATTAAAAATCCTTCTTTTTTAATCAGTAATAATATGTATAGTTATTGTTCTTCTAGCCTTGAAACTGAATGTTGTGTTTTCATAACTGTGCAGCAAAATTAACAAATGAGAGCTTAAAAGAAGTTTATATAAAATCAGAATTTCGCATTTTAAACTGAAACACTGGAATGCACTAATTCTGCATTGATGTTCTGATTTATTGAGGTTAACCCGTTTCGGGGTGATGATGGTTTGCAACAAGTCATTTAAAAGTTACTCACACTGTCCACTGCAGCTTCTGATTCTTGATAGAGTTGTAGAGCGCCTGCAAGGGAAAAAATAAAAATCAATAAATCTTAAGAAAGATATAAGCAGAGATTTTAAATGGTAGTGGAGGGCAGATTCATTTTGATTGCCTGAGAAAGGTACACAATGAACAAGAGTGCTTTCCTCAATTAACTATTCTTATGCTGCTCAGCTTCTCCCAGTCGCATGAGCAGAGTTCACTCGCTCTGCCAAATGATCCATCAATTACCTAATGAGCCGAACATCAACATAGCTCTTAAACACAAGCAGGTCTTGGATGAAACAACCCCGCCAGTCATGATATTAATAATTTAGATTTTCATTAACCTCAACAGATCTAAATCTAGTTGCTGATTTCAAAGTTCTAACTGCTGGATTTCTTAGGTTTTATCAGAAGGATAACCAAAATATTCAACTCTGTTTTCGGATAGTAGTAACTATTCAAAGAGTTCCCCTGTCCTCCATGATGAGTAGTTTTTTTTGGAGTTTTCCTATAGACGTGCTGATGTTGCTTGTTTCTAAAGCTAATTCTGACAACCGATGCATAAGATGACTTGGTACAGCGGCCAACAGGTGCAAACATGCAGTAAACCACCAAAGAAGCTGCAAACACGCATATGATGCAAAGTCCAAAACAAGCATACACAAAAAAATAATGCAATAGGAAAATGGTTAACAAAAATGCTGCAATCACTAGAATAGAAGCAAAAACTTGCAATCAACAAACACATGCAAATAAAAAATGTAGTGACCACAAACAAAATGATGCTGGCAAAAACAGCAAGAAAATTATGCAAATAGCAAAAAGAGCTGCAAACTTTCCCTTAACAAAAAAACCCTGAAGTGCTCCAGATCACTAGAGGGAGTCGATCAAAGACCAAACCATATCAGACCAGAGTGTTACTTATATGACTATACATAACTATAGTGTTACTCTAAAATACTGTAAGGCTTGCTTGACAATGAAACGAAAGATAAACTTCTCCTTTCTTCATTTTTGCATTTCAAATCCTGTGATAATGCATAAATTCCTGTTTGTATGGAGGGTCTGGTCCAATATGGTTTGCTCTTTGTTCAGTGCCCTCTAACGGTCCTGAGCAATTCAATTTTGTAAAGCGAGTTAGCAGCTGTTTTTACTCTTTGCATAATTTTCTTTCTGTGATAGCAGGATTTTGTTTTTTCATTGCAGCATTTTGTTTTTGGTTGCAGCACTTTTTTCTTTGCATTGGTTTAGATAATTGCAGGTTTTTGCTTCTGTATTTAGAGATTGCAGATTTTTTTGTTTGCAGCATTTTTCTGTTGCTTTTGTTTTTTTTCTGTTGGTGTGTTTTACAGTTTGCATCATGCGTATTTTTGCAACTCTTTTCGACGTGTTGGCCACTGTAACTTATGGAGGACTTGAAGGAATGATCTAGTGTTGTGTTAGCATACAATTTAGCAAAGGAACTAATTTAAAACTGGATCTACTTTAGGAAGAGCCTGTTCTTGTACTTCACTGAATGTATGAAAAACACCATAGGTAGCACAGTCTGACTGACAAAAAAGATATTAAAAGCAATTTGTTTTAGAACTGAAAATGTGTTACACATTGGACATTTAACTAATAATGTTATCAGATTATGTATACAACATACTCACTAAGGAATCCTATTCCGTTTCTTTCACCTTTCATGACCAATGTCATCAACAACAAATAAGGTGAACCAACAGAGGTGGGAGGGTTACTGCTAGAGAGCTAAAATGAAAGCTACGCAGCTGGAATTTTCGTTTCAGTTTTCCCTGGATCTGTAGGGACATTCAGGGCATTTAGACAGTTTTCCTTCAACAGCTCAAATCGACATTGACTTTGTGTCAGCTAAATGTCATGTAACAAATTTGTTTTCACGGCCGATCTGCAGCGGAGAGATGAAGCGACACAGAACAGCAGGGAACCATCAGAGGTGTGGTGATTGTGATGGAGGTAGCTGATGGACGGATGTGACAGCCTGATGGATTTAGGAGACAGTTAGTGGCAGCTCATCTCCTCCTCGTTCAGTGAACTGACTGCTGGAAAGGGAATTTAATCCATGTTGGGTTTGGGAAGCACAGCTGCTGTTCCACCCTTTAGAGAATCATTTTTGTTGTATCGTGACTTTTAGTCAAATTAAACAGGATTTATAGCTGGGTTTTGGCTCCAAGCATTTGGCTTTGAAACTGGGCCTAATCAGAGATCCATCAGAAGAATAATGAATATTTATGTTCACCCAGGGTAGCTCATTACAGTCTCAGCTCCGTTTCATCCTCTTTTCTGTAAAATTGCAGCTCTGCAGCCTGCTTCATGCTCAGAACTGTCCCGCATTTCGCCTGACAGAAACAGGGAAGCACTTCCCAGGATTTCAGAAAACAAAACTGCTTCTGCAGCAACTGGGGATGGGCCTTAAAATATTAGTTTATGGTACTATCGTGATATCTTCATTCATTCTTCGACGTCTTTTGGCGGTAGCTTTGTAGCAGTGAATGCCCGCCACAGCAATCATAGCCCCACAATTACAAAGATTAGTCCAAAAAAACAAAAATACTCATTTAAAATAGGCTTCTTCATTACCAGTTACCTAAAAAAGTTTGCTTTATATAATTAAATATCCTATAATTACTGCATTTAATCGCATTCTTTGAATAGGAATATCATCGGGACAATATTATGACTGTGTCTTACATCTAAATGGAATAGGAAAACATGCATATTACAACAGTCGGAAACAGATTTATACATACCCTGCTTTTGAATTAAGGAAATATTATTTTCACTGCAAATGATACCAAAATAATGGCCCAAAAATAATTTTACTTTCAGGACAAGTGATCAAAAATTAAGGCAATCTCTGTGTGTGTCTGTAATCTCTAATCTGGCATTTCGTTAATTTCAGAGTAACGGCTTCTTCCTCTCTGAGTGGCTCTCCATCCCACAGATCTTTTACTTTGGTTTTAAGGGTTATTTGTGTTGGGAGCTGGAGAAGTTCCACCTTTCTCCAGCAGAGTCCGCCGTGGATCCTTCTGAGGGAGCCTCCTGCACAGCTGCAGCCCATCAAGATCATCAGAGGATCCACTACTTAAGCTGTCTTCAGACCTTGCCTCAACGCCGCAGTGTTGATCCAGTTGGTCAGTGCCTAAGCCTAGATCCTCAGTGTAACTTTGTGACTTTGAATCCAGCCTGGATTCTAACCGTTGTCTCTGTCTTCCAGGAAACCAGTGTCTCCTCTGTAAGCTCAGGAAGAGCTAACCTGCCGAGCCGACCCTCAGAGCCAAACCTGAAGAATCATAGAGAACCTCCATGCAGCTCTGGACTAAGAGCTGGAAAACCCAAAGCCAAAGTCTGTTCATTATAAGACGTGAGACGCTGAAGCAGCAAGCGGACTCTGCTGATGAACTCCTCTCCAGATCCAACAGTGACTCTCCCAAAGCTAACCTCAAGAACCCTCAAGGTACAATCAGTAATCTTCGGGAAATCAAGCTCCAGCTTGCAACGCTAACTGAACTGTCTCTCACGCAGACTCCGGTGAACCAGTGTCCAGGCCCGAACCAGAACCAGTACATTCTGTGTGCTTGTGCTAAAATAAACTTGTTGAACTTTTATCCCTGTGTCCGTCAGTGGTGTTCTGCATACTTGGGTCGCTATTAGTGAACCCATCATGACAATTTGCACATTTCACAAAGCACTTTCATGTAAAAGACGTTCTACTTTCTGCACAGTACAAAGGCAGCATAATCCCATGATGTCTTTGTTGAAAAGGAGAAAAAAATATTACCCCCTCAGCTAACCACACTTTTGGAGATCCACAAATATACTTCGGGTATCTGAGCTAATTTCTTCTGATTTACCAGTGATTCGTTCAATGGAAGCTGCCTGCTTGATGTGTTACTATAAAATTCATTCAGCGGTCTGTCTCCATTTAACTCAGAGGTTAAAAACTGATTTATCAAACGTTAAAAAGCATAATCATTTGGGATTTCCCAAATTGTTTAAAGGCATAGCAACATTTGAAATGACGTATATACATAGAGTCTGCATAGAGTCAGAGCTCCACGAGCGCATACTGCTCTAACATTAAACCTGCTCTTTATATTCTACCAGATATCAGTTACATCTGTGAGTTCAACACTATGGCTGAACATGTAATAATCATATTTAATCAGATTTTTTTTATTACAGCCATAGAAAAAAATATAATACTTTTTTCGTTGTGTTCACTGTATTACTCAGAAAACATCCCCTTAGAAAAAAAGAAATATTTTTTTCTATGATTATAGATAGTTCTTGATATAGATTTTAATTTATGCTCTAAGCAAAGAAAAAATGCAACAATATGTAAATAGTTGAATTAATGATCTAAACCTTACTGCTATTAGATAGAATTAACTGTAAAGAAACTGCCTGTTTTCTTTTGCACCTTCTAAATAATCAGCTTTAAATTTTTGACATAGCAGAGTGATGTATTATAACAAATGAGGAAGTTTAATCCTTAAAGTTTCATACTGGGTTCCTGTAAAGTATGTGACTATGTATTTGTTGTCAATCATTTTCCTAATGGTCGATTTTACATGTCATAGCTAGGATAAAATTGAAGGACATGTTATAATAAATAAATGTATACATTAATATTTAAATATATCATTACTAATATGCTATTAACTGCAAATAAAGGTTATTAGTTTAAATAACTAATCATTCTATGTTCAAATATAATTGTTTCTGTATTGTTTAATTTATTCTAAAGTTATTGTTTAATAAATTCTAAAGTGAACTTCACCTGAAAAATAAATCCTAGTTCGATTGACAACAACTTATGATTTACTGCAGCACAGAACAATGAAACCTTTGATAAAAAGTTAAACGTTATCGTATGAATATTTAAATATATTGAAATGTTGTATTTGGGACAAATTTTATTAGATAAATACTTTTCAGCTTATATATTTTAATTTGAAAGATACATTTACGTAATTATCTGATCTTTTATTTATTGAATCATTGCAGTTTTT